CGAGCCACGTAGGCTGTGGATGGCAGAATGGTATGGCTGAGGTTCGCAAGGCCTTCGCCGTCCGGACTGGGGGTGACTCCAGGTGGAGGACACGGAGCTACAGGGTTTGATTTACATGGCTGGGTGTTAGCTCGACTGTGATTTGACTGTAACCCTGTCTTTGTTGTTACGGTTTCATGTAAGTTTTTGTGTGTATGACTGTTTTGCCTGCATGAATGGCTGCGCACCCCTGGCATGCCTGCTGCCCAAAGAGGACAGAAGGGGGCACTGGATTTCCTGGAATTGAAGTTTCAGGCACTCTGAGCTGCCATGTCGTTGCCAGGAATTCGATCCAGGTTCTCTTCAAGAATAGCAAATGTTCTTAACCATTGTACAGTCTCTCCAACCCTCACTCACCTTATCCTCTGCAAGAACAGAAAGTGCTGTGCTAGGTCCTCTCCACAGCCCTGACTGAAGGAGTCTATTTATTTGCATATTTGGTTTGGTTTCTGTGGGTATATGTTTGGTTTTGGGGGGGAGGGGGCCACTGAGACATGGGCTCATTGTAGCCCTAACTGCCCTGGAGTTCCCTTTGTACACCAGGCTGGCCTTGCATTCACATCTGCCTGCCTGCCTCTGCCTCCCAAGTGCTGGGATTAAAGGCAAGTATCACCACACCCAGTACCGAATTGTATTTATATTGTGATATTGATATTAACGTGATAGTTGGGATAAACTAGGAAAGGTTATTAATTTAAGGTTTATTGATCTTGGTTGGGTTTGAATTTTTTTTTTTTGAGAGAGTCTATTTTGGAACTATGTAGAGCAAACACCCTGTCCTCAAACTCACAGAAACCTGCCTGCCTCTGGATCTTAAATTCTCTGATTAAAGATTTTTTGTTTTGTTTTCGAGACTGGGTTTCTCTATGTAACAGCTCTGGCTGTCCTGGAACTCACTTTGTAGACCAGGCTGCCCTCGAACTCACACCTGCCTCTGCCTCCCAAGTGCTGGGATTACAGGTGTGCACCACCACTGCCTGGCTAAGATTTTTGTTTTACATGCAGTGCCCATAGAGACCAGAAGAGTGACTGATCCTTGAAACTTGAGTTGTAAATGGTTGTTAGCCTGCGTGTGGGTAATGGGAATCAAACACAGATCCCCTGGAAGCAACTAGTGTTCTTAACTGTTGAGCCATCTCTGCAACTCAGGTTATCAGTTTATGTGTCTAACAACAAAGGATAATTTGTGCTATTTAGTTGGTTTTTTTTTTTTTTTGGTCACCTTTGCAAATTACAGTCATCTAGGAAGAGGGAACCACAATTAGGGGAAATGCCTCCATCAGATTGGCTGGTGGGCAAGTCTCTGGGGGCCTTTTCATGACTAATGATTGATGTGGAAGGGCCCAGGCCACTCCTGGGCAGGTAGGTAGTCCTTAGTTATATACTTTTCAAAATGCAAAATGAGTAGAAAGCAAGGCAGTAAGCAGTATTCTTTTTTGTTGTTGTTGTTTTGTTTTTCGAGACAGGGTTTCTCTGTATTGTTTTGGAGGCTGTCCTGGAGCTCACTCTGTAGACCAGGCTGGCCTCCAACTCATAGAAATCTACCTGCCACACCCACGGCTAAACACTAAACTGAACTCCTGGAACCCAAGTGACAGAGAGGGAGAACTAATGAGCAAAGGGGTCAAGACCAGGCTGGAGAAACCCACAGAAACAGCTGACCTGAACAAGGGGGAGCTCATGGACCCCAGACTGATGGCTGGGAGGACAGCATGGACTGATCCAGACCCCCTGAACATGGTGTCAGTGAGGAGGCCTCGGCAATCTCTGGGCCTCAGATAGTAGATCAGTATTTATCCCTGGCGTACAAATGGACTTCGGGAGCCCATCCCACATGGATGGATGCTCTCTCAGCCTGGATACTTGGGGGAGGGTCTAGGCCCTGGCCCGGATGATGTGACAGACTCTGCATATCCCCATGGAGGGCATCACCCTCCCTGGGGAGCAGAGGGGAGATGGGGGGTAGGGGAGGAGGGGAGGGAGAGGGACCTGGGACTGACATGTGAAGAAAGCTTGTTTTTAATTTAAATTAAAAAAAGAATCTAAAAAATAATAATAATGTATGGTGCCTAGACCACGTCTCAAAAAAGGGGAAAAGACTATTTCACATTCCCTTCTATCAATCTTCTGGTAATGCTCTTGTTATTGTAACAGCACCATACATTATGTTTGGCCAAGTAAATTATTTTATAATCCCGACAGTCAAGAAGCAGACAGAATGTATTAATTGCAGATCAGCCTGGTACCTTGTCTGAAACAACAAAAAAAGGTATGTTCTGTGCTCTAACTTAAAGATACAGCTATCTGGGCCAGCAAGACGACTCAACAGGAAGGGTGCTTGCCACCTAACCGGACAACCCAGGACCCACGTGGTTAAAAACAGACTTATTTTCACTAGTTGTGCTCTGACCCAGACATGTTCATACCCACCCACCCACAAAAATTTTAGCATGCTAAAAAACAAAAGTATTTGATTTCTGAATACAAAGTATCCTTTGGAAGGACAGTACAACAGGCATCAAGGATATGTAGATAAATCTTGTGATACTTGTATAAAAAAGGGCTCAGTCTATCTCCTGCACACCCTTGCCTCTCTTCCGTTCTTTCCTGTTCCTCCAACCTTCCCAGATGGCCACTGGACCCATCTCCCCTCAACGCTCCAGAAAGTGAGTCTGTCTTGTATCACTTTTCTAGGCAGACAGCACTCCTCTCTTCCCTGGCTGCTCCCTCCCACAGCAGCTTCCAGCTCCTCCCTATAGCTCCCCGCTGGCCCTGGCCACTCCAGCCTTGGGACCATCACGTCCTGCTCTTGCTGTAAGCAGGTTCCTCCCTGCCTCCCCAGGCCTCCTCGTCACTCCTCCAATCTGAGCCCGTCCAATGAAGAACACCTGGCTTGTTTACGTCATCTTCTCTTGTCCTGTAGCCGTTTCCTTCAAGCCAGCTATGAGCGCCACCAGCTTGGGTCATAGCGGCCTGTTAACAGCCTCTCATGAAAGAAACATGGAGGCTCATGAGCTCTCTTCTTTCAAGCATTTTCCACCCCACTTTATCTCCCGCAGACAGGGGACATAATGACTTGGCTGTCCTGTAACTTGCTGCATATCTATCAGGCTGACTTCGAACTCAGAAATCTGCCAACCTCTGCTTCCTTCAGAGTGCTGTGATTTAAGACATGAGGACACCAGGTAGGGTCATCTGAATGTAACTGACCCCAAGAATCTCACAGGGAGTGGCACTATTAGATGTGGCTTTGTGGGTACGGGTGTGGGTATGGCTTTCTTGGAAGAAGTGTATCATTGCGGGGGTGGGCTTTGAAGTTTCCTATGCTCAGGACACCATCCAGTGTCTTAGTCGACTTCCTGTTGCCTGTAAGATGTAGGACTCTTGGGAATGGAGAGATGGCTCAGAGGTTAAGAGCAGCAGTGGCTGCTCTTCCAGAGATCTTGAGTTTGATTCCCAGCAACCACATGGTGACTCACAACCATCCATGATGAGATCTGGCGCCCTCTTCTGGTGTGCAGGCAGACATGCAGGTAGAACACTGCATACATAATTAATAAATAAATGAAAAAACCAGTAGGACTCTCGGCTACTCCTCCAACACCATGTCAGCTGCCATGCTCCCCACCATAATGGACTGCACCCCTGAAACTGTAAGCCGCCACCCTCCATTAAGAACTGCTGTGGAGCCGGGCGGTGGTGGCGCACGCCTTTAATCCCAGCACTCGGGAGGCAGAGGCAGGCGGATCTCTGTGAGTTCGAGGCTGGGCTGGACTGACAGCCTCTAAAACAATTCAGAGAAACCCTGTCTCGTAAAAACTGAAAAAAAAAAAAAAAAAGCTGCCGCGGTGACGCTGTCTCTTCACAGCAACAGGAAGCCACACTGACAGCAGGCATAGCGGTCCTATTCGCACTGAAAGAGGAACACGCCCTCCCACACCATCCCGAGACACAGGCACCCTCCCACACCACCCCAATCACAGCACACGTCACTAAGCACCAACCCAGAGGTCTGCATCAGACCTCTCATGAGAAGACTACAGGGTTGGTCTATGAAGGAGAGATCTTCATTTGAGGATGACAATATACACTCTTCAAGGCCACTCAAAATGCGCATTCTTCCCCTTTCGCCCCAGATGAAACCCATGCACCACAAAGCTGAGGACCACAAGGGTCCCAAGCGTTGTCGTAGCTTGCTGGCTACCCAGCCTAGGTTCAGTGAGACCCCATCTCACAGGACACAAGTATGGGCGTGGTAGTTGGAATATAACTGGCTCCCATAATCTCATAAGGAGTGGCACTACTAGGATGTATGGCTCTGATGGAGTGGGTGTGGCCTTGGAGGAAGCGTGTCACTGTTGGGGTTTTCTTCCTGCATCCCGCAAGATGTGGCACCATGTCTGCCAGCACACCGCCATGCTCTCCGCGGATGATAGTAAACTCAACTTCTCAAACTGTAAGCGAGGCACCCAGTTAACTGTTTCCTGTACAAGAGCTGCCATGGTCATGGTGCCTCTTCACGGCAATGAAAACCATAACTAGGACAGTTAAGTACACACCCAGTAACCTCTGCTGTTCTCCTTACATAGACACACGCACACACGCACACTTATACATACGTGTGCACCACACACAAACAGAAACAAAAGGAATTTCAGCGATCGAATGTTACTCAAAGGCACAGTACTTGTCTAGCATGAACAAGGCTTTGGGTCTGATCTCTAAAGCTGCAAAGATGACCAAATAATCAAAATAAAAATAATGTGGGGACCAGCAAGATGGCCCAGTGAGTAACAGCACGTGCCACCAAGCCTGATGGCTTGAATTCCACCCTGAAAACCACATAGTGGGCAGAACCGATTCCCACAAGCTGTTCTCTGACCTCCGCCCTCCACACACGTGCCATGGATCATGTACCCTCCCCATAAATAAAGTAATAAAAGTCTCAAACAACAACCCAGTGGGAGTGTTCTGGTTTATCTCTCCCTTTTGCAACTAGGTAACACCACTCCTCCCCTACACACATTTTTTATATAACAGTTTAGTTTCAGAAACTACAAACTATATTTATATTAAAAGTTGAAATGTCAAGAACAAAGAATAACACAGGGTCCAAAAAAACCAAGGTAAGAGGTAGTCAACACATCAGTCTACCTCACCAGTTCCGGACTGCAGCACGCTTGACCACACCGGCCTGACAAGGCTGCACCAAGAAGACACTGTGTGGTCACTGGAGACGGCCACCTAGACCACCAGCAAGCGAGCCTTTCCTCTTCAAAAGCCAAGCCGTGAGTGTGGGCTCACACTGTGATCGCAGCACTTGGGAAGCTGAGGCAGGAGGCCTGTCGTGAGTCTGAGGACTACAGAGTGACATTACATCTCAATAAAGCGTCTTCTGCAACAGCTCCTGTGTGAGGCTGACCAGGCAAGGATGAGGGGCCATCCGCGCTGTCTCAGGACCAGGAGTGCAGACACTAGTACTGGAAGCTGCGCTTGGTCTGGATGTCATCAAGGATCTGCTGCAGCTCCTCGTCTTCAAATCGCCCCTCCAGGCTGCAAGAGACCAACACTCAGTTTTCCCACGCTCTTTTCAAAAGAGACTTCATTTCTCTGAGTGCAGCACTTAGCTCTACCTTTACAGAATTCACTACTCACTGGATTCCTTCTCAGTGTTCCCTTATGGGAGCACTAAAGAGTGCAAATATAAAAACGATTTTTAAAAGCCTCAACCGTTTTAAAGTTTTGTTTTGTTGGTTTAGTTTGGCTTGATTTTTTGAGACGGTCTCATTACACAACTGTGGCTGGCCTGGAACTCAGAGGCTGGCCTGATTTTCTGGATTAGAAGCACAAACCAGCAGGCCCTGCAATAACTCACTTTCAGTCATTCACTCGCTGACTGACTTAAGGACTGTGTCCAACAGCTGCTACCACCACACCACATTAGTGAATACTGGCATACCATCTGGGTAATGGGAAATAGTCATTGGTTTTACTAGACTAAGTAAAACTGCTCTGCTACTAGCAGAATGAAAATTCTGGCTGTTTCTTTTGCTCCTTTGGAGGTGCTGGGCAAGCAAACTCAGACCTTCTCACACAACAGACACTGAGCTATATCCCTAGCACCCTGATCCATGTCCTTCCTGTCAGTGTGGTATAAAACTACCATTCTCAGGCTGGCAAGATGGTTCAGCTGGTAAAGGCTACTTACCACCAAATCTAACAACCTGAGTGTGAGCCTGGGAACCTACACGGTGAAAAAAGAAAACTGACTAGCCCAAGTTGTCCACTGACCTTCACATGCTTAATGTGACACACAAAAGATCACTGTAAAAACCCAACTGCTGCTCACATCTGCAATCCCAGCTCTTGACTGGAAGAAGCAGGGCAATCAAGAGCTCAAGGACAGCCTCGGCTACCTGAGACTCTGCCGTCAACAAGAACACAACCAACCCCCAATCGCCTCTCAAACACCGTAAATTACAATCGTCCTCAGTGCTGGCACATCATCACTCAGACACCAAATGCACACAACACTCAGATCTAGCAATCTGACTTGAGGAAATCTACATAACAGATAAAACTTGCCCCATCCGGTACTGACCTTGGAATCAAGGCTTTGGACTCCTCAGAAGTTTCTGGGCAAAGATTGGCTAAACAGGCCAACTCAAATTTATGTAGCTTTTTCTGGAGAAGCAAGCTGATTGTAGAGAAAATAAAAATTCAGAAAGACAATAGAGTAGGAGTGAAACAAGAGCGGTAATGGGGAGAAATGAGTATGATCAAAATACATTCTATATCTGCATAAAAATGTCAGTGTCATAATGGAACACATTATTATGTACAATTAACATATGCTAATAAAAAACAAAAAGTCAAATGTCAAACAATGATCAATAGCAAAAAGAGAGAAAAAAATTTACAATCCTTGATTATGGTCATGTGGGCAACAGAATCCCCCCTTGAATCACTTCCTATTCTGACTCCTGAAAAAAGGAGACAAGAGAGACGAAGCAGGCAGAGCCAAGGGCACCGGAGAGAGCAGAGCACAGCAGGGTGAGGAGGCACCTCTGTCTGTGTTAAGGAGCACACCACACGGTGGTTAAGAGCATTCACTGCTCCTCTTTCAGAGGGCCCGGGCTTGGCTCCTGGTACCCACATGGTGGCTCATAACTGCCTGACACTCCAGATCTATGGAATCTGGTACCCATCTCTGGCCTCCATGTGTACTTGGCACTTGTGTGGTGCAGAGGCAAAACACTCACATATAAAATAAAAATAAATTGAATAAATATTATAAACATCTGCCAATCACACCTCATGAAAACCCCAAAGCCATAGATGCTTTCCTCCAGGAAGTGACTCTCTAGTTCTCTGGTCTTCCTGCTATATTTGAAAGTTAACGTCAAACAACACAGTCTATTAATTATGTTGACATGGAAGCAACTTTAAAAAAAATACACCAAACTCTGCTTTGTGCAAATCTGTGTGTAAACTGCATCTACAGGATTTTCATGGCCTACACATAAAATAAGGCTTACTAGGATGAATTTGATTTCAAAATGTAGTATTAAGAAGTTATATTTAGCCGGGCGGTGGTGGCGCACGCCTTTAATTCCAGCACTCGGGAGGCAGAGGCAGGCGGATCTCTGTGAGTTCGAGGCTGGGCTGGACCGATAGCCTCCGAAACAATACAGAGAAACCCTGTCTCGTAAAAACCAAAAAAAAAAAAAAAAAAAAAAAAAAAAGAAGTTATATTTGAAGCTAGGCATTGGTGGCACATTCCTTCAATCCCCAGCACAGATCTCTGTGAGTTAGAGGCTGGCTTGTTCTACAGAGTTAGTTCTAGGAGACTACACAAAGAAACCCTTTCTTAAAAAACAAACAAAAAAGACAAGGTCTCATGTAGTCAAGGATGATGACCTTGAACTCCCTGATCCTATTGCCTCTACCTCTCATGACAATATATAATGATAAAACTTTAGGTAGGGCGGGAGAGATGGCTCAGCAGTTAAGAGTGCCAGCTGTTCTTCCAGAGGACCTAGGGACTGAGTCCCAGCACCCACATGGTGGCTCACGACTGTGGTAATTCCAGTCCTACTCTGACACCCTCTTCTGGTCTCTGTGGGCATTGCATGGTGCACACACATACAAGCTGGCAAAACACTCTAAAACTAAGTCGGGTGCAATGTAGTGGCATGCACCTTTGATCTCATCATTTGGGGAGGGCGGGTGGCAGAGGCAGGCTGACCTCTGTGAGTTCGAGGCCAGCCTAGTCTACAAAGCAAGTTACAGGACAGCCAGGGCTGTTACAAAGAAAAACCTTGTCTCAAACAAACGACCCCTCCCCCCACAAAAAAGCCCTCATAACATATGTAAATAAATTTTGTCTTTTAACTGACTTTGAGTACTCACCTGCGAACACTGGCGATGGTCTCTCTGTTTTTGAAACGACTGAAGCGGGCTGTGTAGTTCAGGGTTTTCATGAAAACCTCTGAAAGCTCCTGCTCGTCCTCTGCACTCTCGTTCTGCTGCTTTCGGTGCTCCAGGAGCATGTGAACCTCAGAGTTCAGGAGAGTCTCGGCTGTTTCAAACTCTGCAAGAAGAGTAAGTGTGAACTCAAGGTACTCTTAAAAAGCATGTCTTTGCCAGTCAGTGGTGGCTCCCACCTTTAGTTCCAGGATTTAGGCAGTAAAGATTGGATGATCTTTGAATTTGAAGCCAGCCTGGTCTATATTAGTGAGCTGCAGGAAAGCCAGAAACACAGAGACTCAAAAACAAACAAACACACACCAAAAACCAACTCCAGAGGGTTGGAGAAATGAGTATGTACTGCTCTTGCAAAGGAAGTTCAATTCCCAGCACCCACATCAGACACCTTACAGCACCTCTGGCCTCCTCAGGTACCTGTACACTTAATAAAAATAAATCTTAAAACACTAACATAGGGCTGGAGGGAGGGCTCAGCACTTAAGAGCACTGGCTACTCTTCCAGAGGATCAGGGTTCTGTTCCCAGCACTCACGTGGTGGCTCACAATCATCTGTAAGTCCAATTCCAGGAAATCAAACACTTAGTTATGGCTCCTACGGACACCAGACATACATACGGACATACATGCCGGCAAAACATCCTTAATATAAAATTTGAAAAGTGAGAGTCTTCATCACAATTTTAAAAAAAGACAAAAGATAAAGTCACTTTCTAGGGCTGGGCAGATGATTAGGTTGATAAAGTACTTGCCACTCAAGTGTGAAGAGCAAAGTTGAGATCCTCAGAACCCACAAAAATCGGTATAGAGGGGTGCTTGTAATCTATCAGTTGGTAGTAGAGACAGGGGATTCATTCCCTGGGGGCAAGCTGACCAGTTAGATCACTTGTGAGCTCTGGGTTCAGCAAGAGAGTTTGCCAAAATAAGTGGAAAATAATCAAGGAAGTTATTTAACATGAACTCCAGGTCTCTAGAAGCACCTGCACAAGAACATGTGCCCACATACATGCACCTAACATATTCATACATATACACACAAACAAATAAGTTAACATTGCTATCTGGGCTGGGAATGTAGCTTGGTTGATAGAATGTTTCCTCAGTATGCACAAAGCCATGAATTCCATCCACAGCACCCCATAAACTGGGCACATGGCTGTAATCCCAGCACTTGGGAGACGGCGTGTTTGATGCCAGCCTAGTCTACATAGAAAATTGCAGGCTAGCCAGTGCTACATGAGACTGTCTCAAAAATTGGGGGTGGAGGAGTGAGAGCATCGGCAATAGACGCTTAGCAGTTGAGAGGACTTGATGTTCTTACAGAGAACCCAAATTCAGTTCCCCACAACAGTTCAAATAGTTCACAAACGCCCATAAATCCAGCTCCAGGCAATGGGATACCTTTGGACTCCACAGGCACCTGTATACACATGCTTGTGTATACACACACACACACACACACACACACACACACACACACACACGCGCGCGCGCTCCCCAGTCGCAGGAGCGGGGCAACCGGTGGCACACAAAAAATCCATTGACCAGCGGGCACCCGCCATCCCAGACTGGAACCCATCTTGCTCCCAGCTGCTCTTCATAACTCAAAAATATAAAAAGGGAGCCCAGAAACCAACGGCAACAGTATCTCTGCCCAGGGTGCATGACACTCACTCTTCTGATTAGCGCTATGCTATGATGGGGCCATAGCTCAGCTCCTGCCAGCTGCCAGTTTAGAATAAAGACCTCTGCTCCGCCGGGAGGTGGTGGCGCACCCCTTTAATCCCAGCACTCGGGAGGCAGAGGCAGGTGGATCTCTGTGAGTTCGAGGACAGCCTGGTCTACAGAGCGAGTTCCAGGACAGCCTCCAAAGCCACAGAGAAACCCTGTCCCGAAAAAGCAAAACTAAGACCTCTCTGCTCCAGGTCTGTCTTTTGCATGCCAGAAAACGGACATAAACACCCCTAAATGTCAAGACCACATGCCCTTAATTCCATCGCTCAGGAGGACGGGGCAGGAATGTGACAAGTGGGGAGGGCCAGCCGAGGATACATAGCATGAAACTCGAAAACAAAAACAAAAACACAAAACAGCCGGGCGTGACACACGCCTTGGATTCGGACACTCACAAGGCAGGAGCTGGCTGGGTTCAGTGCGTCCAGGGCCAGCCTGGGCTACTACAATACGAGCTGCAGGCCACGCGTCCATGACCTCACGTGAGACACGGTTTCACTCGAGAAACACACAAACGAAAACGGTAGCCAGCGCTCTACAAGCGTGGGCTGTGTGGATGCCCACGGCTCCCAAAGCGCGGGCGCGGGCGCGGGCGCGGACGCCTCTCCACGGGACTCACTGAGCCACGCTAGGTTCCGGCGCCAGGCTGACCGGTCCCCGCGCGTGCGTATCCCCTGGCAACGCTACGCCGTGCCAGGGCCTGGAACTCGAGGACCGTGTCACCGCGGAGGCCCGGCGTCCCCCGGGTCCCACCTTTGGGAAAGATGAGCTGAGAGGCGTCTTCTTCCACGTCGCCGGCCCGGGGATCGCTGCCGCCAGCCGCCATAGTTTAGGATGGACCGCCCCAGACACCGCCGGAAACGGAAGCCGCGAGGGCGGGCTACGAATCGAGGAGAAGAATCTATCCGCTTCAGGGGCGGGGCCAGGTGGAAAGGGCGGGTCCTGAGGAGCTGGGCGGGCCCGGAGGAGCTGGGCGGGCCCGGAGAAGGTGGGCTGGCCCCGAGGAGGTGGGCGGGCCCAGAGGAGGTGGGCGGGTCCCGAGGAGATAATGGGCGGGCCCCGAGGAGATGATGGGCGGGCCCCGAGGAGATGATGGGCGGGCCCCGAGGAGATGATGGGCGGGCCCCGAGGAGATGATGGGCGGGCCCGGAGGAGGTAGGCGGGCCCCGAGGAGGTGGGCGGGCCGCGAGGAGATGATGGGCGGGCCCGGAGGAGGTGGGCGTGTCCCGAGGAGGTGGGCGGTCCCCGAGGAGATGGGCGGTCCCCAAGGAGATAATGGGCGGGCCCCGAGGAGATGATGGGCGGGCCCCGAGGAGATGATGGGCGGGCCCGGAGGAAGTGGGCGGGCCGCGAGGAGATGATGGGCGGGCCCGGAGGAGGTAGGCGGGCCCCGAGGAGGTGGGCGGGCCGCGAGGAGATGATGGGCGGGCCCGGAGGGGATGGGCGGGCCGCGAGGAGATGGGCGGGCCGCGAGGAGATGGGCGGGCGGGCCCTGAGGAGATGGGCGGGCCCGAGGAGATGGGCGGGCGGGCCCGAGGAGGTGGGCGGGCCCGAGGAGGTGGGCGGGCTGAGGAGATGGGCGGGCGGGCCCGAGGAGGTGGGCGGGCCCGAGGAGGTGGGCGGGCCCGAGGAGATGGGCGGGCCCGAGGAGATGGGCGGGCGGGCCCGAGGAGGTGGGCGGGCCCGAGGAGGTGGGCGGGCCCGAGGAGGTGGGCGGGTCCGAGGAGGTGGGCGGGCCCGAGGAGGTGGGCGGGCCCGAGGAGATGGGCGGTCGGGCTGGGTCCTCCGGGGAAGGGGCTGGGGAGCCCACGAGCCTGGCCTCACCGTGCGAGGCGGGTCCTGAGGCCGCAGTCCCGGCGGCTCCGGGTCGTGGGAGGGGCTTCTTGACTGCGGGTTCAGGAGAAAAGGACTGAGCGGAGTGTGGGAGGGAGCAGTGACTGACAGACCCAAGGCGGGGCCTATGATGGGGAGCTGGGTAGGTACTACAGAAGCGCACTGGAAAGTCTGCCGATGCTGCGATTCCGGGAGAAACAAATGGATGTGGCGGTCGTGTACTAATCGACGGGGCAAGAGGACGCGGGCTTGAAGGGGGGCGAGGGTTGGCGGCGCATGCCTTTGATCCCAGCAGAGGCCACGCGGAGGCAGGAGGGCCCTAGAGTTCAAGGACAGCCTCTTCTTCATAGCGATGGCTTCGGGACAGCCGTAGCTACAGCGTGAGGCCCTGTCCCAGAAAACCAGAACTAACAAAAGAGCGTTCAAGAAGAGCCGTGGCTATATAGCAAATCCGTGACCCACGCCAATTCGGGCTACATACCATCCAGTTGCAAAACAGGGTGGGAGGGTTCATTGTACTGTGTTTAATAATTCAGAGCCGGTGAACTCTAATATTGAGAATCCTTTAGTGGGTCTGTTGGGACGTTTGAATTATAAGTAGAAAGTTAAAGTAAAAAGCAATGCTGTTTTCTTTCTTTCTTTTTTTAGGGAGGGGGTTTCGAGACTGGGTTTCTCTGTGCTGTTTTGGAGGCTGTCCTGGAACTCGCTATGTAGATCAGGCTCGCCTCGAACTCACAGAGTGCTGAGATTAAAGGCGTGTGCTACCAATGCCTAGCCGTAATGCTGTTTTCAACACTAGAAAAAACAAGTGTTTGTACAGTAAGGGGGAAAAAATCTTCCCCAGCGCTTGGCTCATTAGGAAACTAGTAAATTCTGCTAACTTAATAAAAAGTGGGTTGAAGGGGTTGGAGAGATAGCTCTGTGATTAAGAACACTGATGTGCTTTTAGAAGACCTGAGTTAAACTTTCCAGCATCCACATTAGGTGACTCAGACACTTGTGACAGCAGCTACAAGGGATGCAAAGCCATTTCTATCCTCTTTCGGAGTACACACACCCTGTACATACACACAAAATAAATCTTTTCTTTTTTGTTGTGTTGTTCTTTTTTGAGACCAGGTTTATCTGTGTAACAGTCCTGATTGTCCTGGAATTCATTTTGTAAGCCAGGCTGTACTCGAACTCACAGAGATCTGCCTGCGTCTGCCTCCCGAGTGCTGGGATTAGAAAGAGCTCTTTGAATTTAACTCCTTTGTTTAGATTTGTTTATTATGGACAATAACAACTTGTAACTAACAACCTTCCTTAAATGATGACAAACATCCATAATCAGTCTTTTGGGAATGTGGGAGTTGTTTTTTCTAGACTGCATCCTGTTGTCTGGGGGTACTGGCATCTTTGAGGGAGACTGAGAAAGTGTAGGATAATGGGTAAGTCTTGGCTGGAGTAGTCTGTGAGGCTGGAGCACCTCAGCCAGCAGCCTTGAAGCTGTTCTGGATGCAGAACTCTGGGGAAACTGCAACAGAACATTTTGAGATGGTGGATCACCTAGGCCATCCATTTTTATTGGTGCTGGGTACCTTGTTCTGAAAATATATAAATTTGTAAATGTAATATACATTACAAATATGGAATATGTTATATGTATAATTCTGTTAAACATGATTTTTTTGTTTTATGTTTGAGCAGGTAAAATATACATCATATATCTTGTAGTTCTAGTTTTTTTTTTTTTTGAGGGGGAGGTTTCAAGACAGGGTTTCTCTGTGGCTTTGGAGGCTGTCCTGGAACTAGCTCTTGTAGACCAGGCTGGTCTCCAACTCACAGATGCCCGCCTCTGCCTTCCTAGTGCTGGGACTAAAGATGTGCGCCATCACCACCTGGCCTAGGTTTATTTATATGTTTGTGGTCAGGATTTTCAAGGGGTCTTCCCCAATCAAACCTGATTCATATCAACCTGGATCCATATCAACCACAACCTCCCATCTCTTGTGGAAATAAAAGCATAAATAACCTCTTCCCCATAGTAACATGTCTTTTGACTTCCATTTTGAAGTGAAGTTTTTTTTTTAAAGATTTATTTATTTATTATGCATATAGTGTCTGGCATGAAGGCCAGAAGAGGGCACCAGATCTAATACAGATTGTTGTGAACCACCATGTGGTTGCTGGGAATTGAACTCAGGACCTCTGGAAGTCTAGCCAGTGCTCTTAACCTCTGAGCCATCTCTCCAGCCCCGAAAATATTTTTTTAAATATATAGGTTGATTTAACCTAGAAGTTTTCATAATCCAGTGTCTCTCAGCAACTGTTGTTCCTTCATTAGCTATCAGAAAATCTAAAGATAACATAATAACATACAGACTCTGGGAAATATTTTGGTTTTTCGAGACAAGGTTTCTCTGTGGCTTTTGGAGGCTCTGGAAGAACAGTCAGTGCTCTTAACCTCTGAGCCATCTCTCCAGCCCTATTTATTGGTTTTTTGAGACAGGGTTTCTCTGTGTTGTTTTGGAGCCTGTCCTGGAACCCACTCTGTAGACCAGGCTGGTCTCGAACTCACAGAGATCCACCTGCCTCTGCCTCCCGAGTGCTGGGATTAAAGGCGTGCGCCACCAATGCCCGGCTTTACCGTTATTTTTAAACTATTTTTTTCACCTGTGACTGACTCTACCCTTTTTCTCTTTTTTTCTCCCAAGCCTGTGTACTTTTTTAAACACACTGTAACCCGTTTAGAGGGTTTCCCATCTGGACCTGTCTTTACTGACCATCTGTGTTGTCTCTTGATCACGTGAGGCACGTCTTACACTGCTATGTCAGCCGCCATGGGTGTCGCTGAGCTCAGTGGATGGCGGTAGCACATGGTGTTGGGTGGCTGCTCCATCCAGCAGGCAGCTGCTAAGAGAAGACTCCTCTCAGTTCTGTGGCCTGTACAAGAGACAGGAGACCAGGCAGCCAGCTTTGCCTCAGTTTCTGTGTGTTTACAACCTTATTATTTTTTTTCCAAGAGCGAGAATGTAGCACAAATGTGCGTATAATTTTCCCAGGATCTGGTTTTGTCTGTACCTTAAGTCTTCTGAGTCTGTGTAGCCTCTATCTCATTAACAGTAGGCGGCAGCTCTCTGACAGTCTGCATGAATTCTGCGGCAGACTGGAGCCACAAACGATAGGATCTTGGAGCTAGGGGTGTGGCTCAGCAGAGCACTGCCTATCATTCATGAATCCCTGAGCTCTGACCCAAGCACTTCCCGTGAGTGGGGTGGAACATGCACACCTGTAATCCCATCAGAGGCTAACTCTATAGTGACTTCAAGGTCAGTTTGAGATACTTGAGAACTTGCCACCCCTCAAAAGGGGAGGAGTAGAAGGTGAAGAGCAGTGTTGGCATTTTTCAGCCACATTAACTGTGAGTTGACCATACTCCAGTTACCCTAATGAACTCATCTATTGCCAAGCTGGACTTATTTACTCTCTGCAACTTCAGGAAGCTTATGTTGACTTGAAACACGAACACTGCCTCCCTCAACATACCCAGGTTCTACAACAGTGGTTCTCAACCTACAGGTCAAACCTCTGTCTCCACATTTTTTTACATTACAGCTCGTAACAATAGCAAAATTACAGTTATGAAGTAGCAATGAAAATAATTTTTATGGTGGGGGGGTCACCACAAGAAATTGTATTAAAGTAATGCAGCATTGGGGAAGGTTAAAAAACCACTGCTCTAAAGGATTTGACACTTGCCCATAATCCCACTTTATGTATAGCACTGACTGACAATTCAGATGGTTAGAGAGCCGTCCAGCCATGGCACTGTATACTGAACGTGATTAAGGAGACTTCCAACAGGCTGGGGCTGGAGAGATGACTCAGCAGTTAACCCTTGCTACACAAGAGTCCTGGGTGGGTTCCTTGGGTTTTTGTTTGTTTGTTTGTTTTATTTTTCAGACAGGTTCTCTACAGCCCTGGTCGACTCTCTTGGAACATTGTAAACCAGGCTGGCCTTTAACTGGAAAAGATCTGCCTGTCTCTGCCCTTCTGAATGCCAGGATTATAAGCACGAGAAACCATGCCCCTCAAGGTCCTGGGTGTTTTGCCTGCATGTGTGTGTGTGTTTGTGTTATCTAAGGGAGCTGGGTGTTTTGCCTGCGAGCGTGCGTGCGTGCGTGCGTGCGTGCGTGTGTGTGTGTGTGTGTGTGTGTGTGTGTGAGTGTGATCTAAGGGAGCTGGAAGAGTAGGTCACATCCCCTGGAACTGCAGTTACAGGTGGGAGCTATTTCTCCAGCCCAGATGTTGTTGTTTTGGCTGACATTCAGTGTTGTCCATGCTGGCCCTAAATTCCCAGCAATCATTCTGCTTCCTGAAATTAACAGGCATATGCCACTATATCATTTTTTTTCTTTTTTCTTTCCAGACAGGATATCTCCGTGTAACAGCTCCAGCTGTCCTGGAACTCTCTTTATAGACCAGGCTGTCCTCAAACTCAAGAGATCTGCCTGCCTCTGCTTCAAAAGTATTGGGATTAAAGGTGTATGCCACCATGGCCAGATTGTTTTTTTTCTCAGTTAAACAAATATTAATTTATTATGTCTAGTGTTCTGCCTGCATGCATTATCTACATTCCAGAATAGGGCACCAGATTTCATTGTAGATGGTTGAGTCACCATGTGGTTGCTGGCAGTTGAAATCAGGACTTCCAGAAGAGCAGCCAGTGCCCTTACCTCTGAGCCATCACTCCAGCCTGTTGTTCTCTTCGAGATGATTTCATTCTGTAGTCCACTCTTGCTCTGAACTCTTGCCCACCTTCCTATAGTCTCCCAAATGCTGGGAATGCTGGGAATGCAGACATAAGCTACCGTGCCGTTTTGGAAAGAGCATTAAGATAACCTTATCTCTCACCCCCACTCTCAGCAAGAACTAGCACCACTGTCCTCAGCAAGAAAAGATGGCCATTTCTTTTAATCACATATTTAAGCACCTGTAATCCCAAATGGTAAGAACCTCTAAATAACCACTTATTTCTGTAAGCATGTATGAATGCCCCAGGGCACGCGTGTAAGATTCGATAGGGTTAGCCCTCTCCTTCAACCTTACCGTGTCCCAGGGCTAGAACTCAGGTTGTTTGGTGGCAAGCACTTAATCTATCTGCTGAGCCAACTCATCTACAGGTTGTTTTTGGCTTTTTTAAGAGACAGGGTCTTTGACTGCGCAGTCCTCCAGAGCATTGGCATTGAAGGATGGCTAGCTTTTCAATAGGTAACGATCTTACCAGGAACGGTAATGCACACCTTCAATCCCAGCACTCGGGAGGCAGAGGCAGGCGGATCTCTTATGAGAACCATCAACAAAGAAACAAGGTAACTGCTAATCACTGTTTCAGATATCAAGTCACCTGGTTACAGAGAGGCAGAGGACAGTTTGCATCCATTATGATTTATTCTCTACAATACTCCATCCAAGACTTTGGTGACTTGTACTCAGAAGTTATGTAGCCAAGAGGCAACCACGTGGAATACAAATAATTGGTCTGAAGTCTTTGCAGTGAAGGCCATACAGTCTCTTGCTTTGAGGAAACAGAATAAAAATAATGTAAAAACATAAAGAACACCCAGGTTTTTAGGCTTCAGAAATCTCAGTAGAAAGTAACACCAAGTTAGTGAAATTGTAGGATGTTAACATAGTGTGGAAAACAGATCTTGTGCAAAACACTAAAATTAACACCCAAGACTTTTGTATAGATGATTTTTATTATAAACAGTAAAATATAACATCTCAACTACAAACCTTTCATGTAGAAAGGGTTTCTAACATGAGTTATTTTAACATTATGAAGCGAAAACGTTTTAAGAACCTCACAGTGAACACAACCCAACACTGACAAACTCTAGTGATCAAAGACAACGCTTTTAGCTCAGGAAACCAAGGACAATTCATAATTACAAAGTGTGTCCTAGCTATGGTATGAGGAGACAAACCAGCTTTCCCAGACCAAAAGGCACTCACAGCTAGGGATGAAACAAATTCCAAACCGAGCCAGCAGAGTCCGGCTGGTTCTCTGCTAGCAGGGGACCTCTGTAAGCTGGAGCAGCCTACAGTCAAAGGAAACACTGGGCGGGAAACGGTCCCTTTCCTCAACATCACTTACTGGCCCCACGCTGGCCGCCCTCACCACTGCTCTGGTCAACGTGTAGAAGGCAGCGGAGTTCTAGTTCAGAGCATCACTCCCAATGCAAAGCCCCGTGCGAACAACCCACACTTGATATTTTTCCTGAGAGCCATCTGCCACACGTTCCCATGAGGTGACCATGACTGTGCACTTCCAGACTTCTTCCCGAATGATTAGGCTCTGCTCAGGACAGACACCAATAGAGCCTATTTCTTCTGGGCCAAATAGCTTCCTTGCCTGACTCCCTAGTCCCCTTGACAAGGCAAGAGGAAGTTGAACATTTCCACTGCTGGACTCTGGGGACACAGGGGAATGTACAGGGAGTAAGGCTCTTCACTCCGGAAGCACTGAGCCAACTGAAGTGAGTTGGACTCTGCCAGCCGGACTCGTGTTCATTGATTCCCCACCCCCACCTCCTTGGGCCTTAACATTTTCCTGTTCATTTTCTTAAACGGCAGGTACTCTACCCCACTCTCAATAAAATAAAACACATACCATACAGGGGAGACAGATAGGGCAACATTTCTACAAGAAAAACAGGCTTGAGGAGCATGGTACTGTAGATGCTTGCATGACCAGTCTCACCAAGAGTGCTCAGGGGTGAAGTTTAGCACCATTTTTTTTTTTTGCAGTTTGCTTTAAATCTTTAGAAATAAAACAGAACTCTAACATAGAACGCCTGAACAGTAATGGGTGTAGCCCTATGTGTCAATACCGTTGTACAAATTGGAGGTGGGTGGCTGTCCAGAACTGACCACCCTGACATCAATCCATGGCACCTGAGAGCACCCGTCACGCTTGTCTGCAATGTCACCTTCATTACCCTCAGCAGCAAGAAACCTAGAGACCCTTCGTCTTTATGGATGTGAAGGAAGCAAAGCTGGCAGTAAGGGGCATGTATCCTGGGCATCCCAATGTAATCAGCACCTCCCTCATCCTTTCCAGGTCCTTGACCATTCCTGGCACAACCAACCTACCCTGTTCAGAAAAAAAAAAGAAGTCCCAGGAACCTGAGGGTGATGCCTAGAACACAAAGGAAGTGCCCCTACTTCCCTTCCTCCATTCCTGGCAGAAGAAACTCAGATGACCTTTTGACCGAATGTTTGCCCATTGTGGAAAGCCACATCATCACATCAACTCTGAAAAAGAAATCAAAGCATATATTCACTGACTGGAGGCCTGGCCGGCCTCCCGCGTTCTGAACCGTGCTGTAACCAGCGCACCATCCTCAGAAGCCTCTCTTCCGGCTGCCTGTCTCTGCCTTTGAGACAGCGCTCTCCTAGTGCTACACTTTGCCACCAAGTGAGTGAAAAGAATTTGCTGACAGCTACTTTGGAATGAGTGAAGATGGGAAGGGAATGTCAAGGGTTTAAATGAGCAACACGAGCAACTGACATTTGCCCCATGAGGTGAAGAGTCCCAGCGTGGCAGGCAAGTTAAAAGGTTCACCTTGTTTTATTACACAGCTTTGTTCTAGAGTCCTACCGAGGACTGATATATCAAGTCTTCCCACTTCTGCAGGCAAATTGGGAAAAAACGAACCGCCCTACTGAAAGGTCCCAGGATGTTTGCCTGTGAAGAAAACCAGCTCAGAGACCCTGGAAGCTCTCCTGTGACGGTGTGTCCTAAAGCCCAGCCCAACCACTTGTTTGGGCGTCTGTGCTTCTGAGAGCCTACATGCAGCTACATAGGCACTGCTACCAGAGAGGATTGAGGTAGCCGGGTGGTGAGGAAGAGATCTCTCTTTTCACACCTGCTTATGACGATGACCTGTGTGGGCGGCTCCGTTCCATCCCTCAGCAGGCTATGCTGCAGAGCTCCGCTCAACACCAGGAGATTCAATGCAGGGAGTGTCCCAGCAAGTCCAGCCGGGAGTCGGGCGAGCACTAACCCTTCCCTGCTTACTGCACAATGCAAAGCCATCCAACAGGGCTTCTCATCTTGTTGCAGTTCTCTTATTCAGGACTCACAGGGGCTCATGGTGCCCAGTCAACCCTAACATGGTATTCACTTATGAAGCATGGAGGTTGTGATCAACTCTTGGTACACAATAAACTGGAAGTTTAAAAAAAGGAATTTAAAACAACCTATAAGTGGTTCATGTTGGTCTCCGTTGCCCAGACTGCCAGGGGAGTACACCTAATTGGTCTGGTGGGCTGTGGGGGTTGGGGAAGAAGCCTCCATGGATCGTCATCAATTCCAGTTTTCCAGTTTTCTATGTGTGGCCAACACACATGTGGGAAATCACCAAGACAACGGTCTTCTGAGCCCATACAGCCATTCTCACTGGTTATTGGGGAGCCCTGATCCAACAGAACCCCAGACTGAGGAAAGGCTGATATAAGGCTTGGGCCCCTCGTGTTCTGTTGCATCGCTGTAACCCACACCCTCCAGTCAGCAGGAGGCAGACTTGGCAACGGAAGCTAGCATCATAAAATGGTGCAGTAATAGAAGTAACTGGACCAGGAAGAGGAGGCGTCCGCTCCAATGATGTCATAGCCATTGGTGGCCACAGGGGGGTGGGACTGGTCATGCAGCCGTGTGTCAGGAGTAATGATTGTAGAGGGGCGGGGCATGAAGAGTGCCATTCTGGAAACAGTGTTGCCGAGAAGCAATATACTCTGCATAACTGATTGTCACCTTCTCACTTCGATACCTGCATGAGGAAACAGGGAAGGTATTAGGAACCCCAAAAGTCTCAGTGTGAAGAGTCCCTCAGAGAAAACCAAAAGCTTATCCCAGTTTCAAAGAATAAAATGGGAGACCAGGAGCACTCTTACAGAAAACGAAAAGACGGCACAAGAAAATGATGCTGTGTTACAAATGAAGGCGATGAAAAAGCACAACCACAGTTCGCCCCGAGCATGTATCTCAGCACACCCCACCTCAGATGCTACATATGCTCATCAACAGGATCCGGGGGAGGAGGTTCAAAGTCAAATTACATGGGTGGCAGATTGGAAGATGGCTGCACCAAAACCCAGTGCAGACTGCGTTATCTATGTTCAGGTTAAAAATGAGATAAATTTGACAGAAATGCAACCTCCATTGTAGAAGAGCAACAAACAACTTACAACTAAAAGGGGCATAGATACCTAATTCTGGGTCAAATTCTGATGAAGCAGGTTAATGGATCCTTGGCTATAGGAAGGTCTCAATCCCCAGAAGAATATGCCATATCTCAGGGTCATCAGAACAGAATTCATAGCACTTTGGCTTTGCTCTGGAAAGAGCCATGAGTCAGGATGCAAAGCATGGGTGTTACAAACCTATGGAGCCTACTACAGACCACAGGAGCGGGCGACAATCCTTACCCAGAACTATCTCTTTCCCACTGTAATCTCTCCTCCACTGCAAGGTGATTATTCCTGAATTTTGACAGGGAAATGGCTGTTCAAATAAATTGTAACAGTAATAATGCTTTGTATCTGCAGTGTTTTTACTTTTAATTATTATTATATTGGTTTTTTGTGTTTTTGTGGTTTTGGTGCTAGAGATGGGACCCAGGGCATGAGCATGCTGCATATTAAACTCTACCGCTGAGCTGCAGCCCCGGCCCCTTGGCTTTTTGAATTTAATGCATTCAAAAACACTGGGTTAGCTTCCAAACAGACCTGTGAGGCCAGCATACGATGACTCAGCATTTTGTAGATGAGGATCCTAGCAAAGACCCACCAAAGCTAGCTTCTCTTTGTTCCCAACATCAGCAGGAAGGGGCAGAACACTGGTACCCACTCAACATCTCCAGAGTGTTGCCCTGGCCTTTGCCTGGAAACTCCATACCTTACCTTACAAGGTCCTAGCCCTGAAGGAGTGACAACTCATACCTTACAGATAGGGACAGCTCACAGAGATGGACTAACTGGCCCACGGTACACAGCCAATAAATAACTGAGCCTGGGACACAGACTCAACTCACTTTGTGTCCCATAAAACTAGTCAGCTCCCTGTACAAGTGCTGCACCCCAGACGGGATCCTGTTAGCTTCCTTACTCCTGACATCTGACTGTATGAGGACCAGGGAACACCTCAAGGGACCCTGGGTTTACCTTCCTGGAGCACTGAGCTCTCAACTCCAAGTCTGCTACACTGAGCACAGAGACGAAGGCCGCCTCTGCAGACACGGCTTCCTCAGAGCTCATCATCTCGCACAGACTGCTTTGGCTTAGGGGTGTAAACACTGTTTTCTTCTCCTTCCCACCAGACAGCCTGTTCTCAACCCCCATTAAAGAAAAACTAACAAAAGAACAGGACAGCAGCTTACCTGGTGAGTTTGATTGATTTTCTGAATTCACTGGTAATTGGAGCCTTAAAGCCGCCTTTCCTGAGCAAGGAGTCTATTGTCTGGATCTGATCCCAGTCTGAGGAGAACAGAAGCCACAATAAGGTCTGCGCAGTCATAACACAGGGGCAGCATGCGCCAATGTGACCAGTGCAGGAAGACAAATGGGTTTGAAAACAGCAGTGTGCTAGGCCAAAGCGAGCACTGGGCCATGGTCCACAAGCTGGAAGCCAACCAGCCTCACCAGCAGTCCCGCAGAGATCCTACCCCGTGACACCCACTCACTGTGTCACAGCTGACACCCCCACACTCCCCGCTCTCTCACAGTCCTTACACGGTAGTATCACCCAAGTGCATTTATTTCTGAAGCTCAGGCCACTCTACTTTTTCCAGACAGGGTTTCTCTGTGCAGCTTTAGCGTCTGTTCTGGAACTCACTGTGTAGACCAGGCTGGCCTCGAACCCAGAGATCCTCCTGTCTCTGCCTGCCCAGTGCTGAGATTGAAGATGTGCACTGCCACTGCCCGGCTTCTTTTTGTTTTTTAAAAAGATAGTATTTTACTTTTTATTTATGTATGTGTATACATATATACAGTGTGCACACACATGTGAGGCCAGAAGATAAGTGTTGAATCCCCTGAGACTGTAGGTACAGTGATGGGTGGGTGCTCCCAGGGGTGAGCAGTAAGAAGCACCCTTCCTTCCTCCCTCCCTCCCTTTTTTGAAACAGGGTCTCTCTGTGTAACAGCCCTAGTTATCCTGGAGTTTACTCCATAGCCCAGGCTGACCTTGAACCCAGAGAGCGGTCTGCTGCCTCCCAAGTGCTGGGATCAAAGGTGTATACCACCACTGTCTGGCTTTTGCTTGTTGTTTATTTTTTTTTTTAATGTGCACTGGTGTTTTGCCTGCATGTACATCTGTGTGAAAGTGTCAGATCCCCTGTAACTAGAATTACAGAGTTCTGAGTCATCTCTCCAGCCCCAAGTAAGCATTCTTCTTAACTCTGAGCCATCTCTCTAACCCAACCTAGGCTGATCTTGAACTCACAGCCTCAAGTAATTTCTCAGCCTCCTGTGCAGATGGGACTACAGTCCTGTGTGTGTGTGTGTGTGTGTGTGTGTGTGTGTGTGTGTGTGTGTGTGTGTGTGTGTGTGTGTGTCTGAGTGCAGATGCCCAGGGGTCCTGTGTGTGTGTGTGTGTGTGTGTGTGTGTGTGTGTGTGTGTGTGTGTGTGTGTGTGTGTGTGTGTGTGTGTGTGTGTCTGAGTGCAGATGCCCAGGGGTGAGAAGCCAAGCCTTGGAGCTGAAGTTGTAGGCAGACATAGGTACTGGGAAACGAGCTTCTGTTCTCTTAATTGCTGAGCCATTTCTCCAGTCCAAGAGGGGAATTTAAATAAAGAAACTATCTCCTTAGTGAAAACAGGGAAGTTCCTTACCTCCGTACTGTTGATTTGCTCACTGTTACTTTTTTTTTTTTGGATATTTGGTCTTGTTATGTATATACTCCAGCTTAGTCCCAAACCCAAAAGGCAATCCTTTTACTTCAGCTTCTTTGGTGTCAGGGCCTGAGTGCACACCTGGCCCACCTCGATGTTACTGTGTCTCTGTGTGTCTCTCACGTGTGGGCACGTGTATATTAACACATGATTCAGGTGCCCCTGAGCCAGAGTTAATGGCAATTGTGAGCTGCTCAAGCTGATGGCTGGGAACCAAACTCTGGTCCTCTGCAAGAACAGTGCATAGTCTTAAACACTGAGCACCTCTCTGGCCCCTCACCCTTACACGTTTCAAACAAATAAAGTACACCAAGTTGAACCCCATCCTCCTAATAACCATAGGAGAAGCTCCCAAGTTTGAATTTTCTCAACTTTAAAATGGGAGAATCAATTTGATCATTTAACTGAGCTGTAATTCACATCCAACTACTAAAAACTGTGTTTGATGTTTTTTAAACATGTTAGATTTATGACCTGATCAAACTGTCTTAAGAAACTCATTCTCTTTATGCTGCATACACACTGCTTTTTGGACAAGTTTAAACACAATCACAATGAAAACCAACATGGCGACTGCTTTCCACATAAGTAGTTCATTAATATACTTAACTGGGTATTTTCTCTATTCCAGGTTCACACCCAACAATTACTGTGTTTCACATTTTATTTTCAAAACCAGACTAATTCCAAGAAAGAAAGAAAATGGGGTTACATATCATAGAAAGTACAAGAAACAGTTAAAGGAATTCTAGACTCTTTCAAAGAGAAAACATGTCCAACCCACTTCCTACCTTTACTGTCCCCATTATAAGAACTCATTAACCACTGAGCTCTTTTTTGTTTGTTGGAGTCTCTCTCTATGTAGCCCTGGCTGGCCTGCCAGTCCTATGTAGATCAGACTGGCTTTGAATTTACAATTATCCACTCTGCCTTCCAAATGCTGGGATTAAAGGCATGTGCCACCATACATGACAAGTACTGAGCTCTTTAAAAAGCAGTAGGGAAGATATTTACCCTTTACCCAACACAACAGCATGTATAGATTTCACAGTTAAAAGTCTAGGACTTTCCTTTATAATGAAAGATAAAACATGGTCAAGCTAGATGCTGTGATAATCCCTGAAGCTTAAGGGGGCAAAGAAAGAACTTTTCATTGAGAGGAAACATTTGAAACCACAAGCAAGTAAGAAAGTTACCCCCCGCCCCATTGCTAACACTCTGCTATGTCAATTTGCCTTCGTTCTACAGGGATCTACAGGAACTTAAAAGAAAAAGACAGCATGCGTGGTGTCCATGGTGGCTGCTGAACTGAATACTCCCTGTAACTGGAATGGCTGTGAGTAGCACAGATCTCTGAGTGCCCATCTGTCCAACTCACCTTGTTCCTTAGCAACTTCAGGTAAATATGTGGCTGTGCGTTTGATGCCTTTTTCATTGATGAATTCAATCCGAATCCCATGGACCCCTACCTACAAAAAAATGCAACCAAGTACATGGCATTTTCTGATTCTAACAATATTCCAATCACCCACATATAAACCAACATTGTCTCCTAAGCTGCTTGATCTAGGTCTGGGAAAAGAAGAATTTTGTTTTCTTTTTTCTGAGACAGAGTTTCTCTGTGTAGCCCTGGCTGTCCTGGAACTCACTCTGTAGACCAGGTTGGCCTCAAACTCAGAGATCCTCCCGCCTCTGCCTACTGAGTGCTGGGATTAAAGGCATGCGCCACCACTGCCTGGTTAAAAGAATTTTGTGTGACTAATCACTCTAAAGTATAGAATTGAAAGTAGGTTGTTTTAGGAAAAGGTCAAATATATGTGTAGTTGTACCTCCAAGAATATGAAGCTTGTAAAAACAAGTTCTTGAAAGGGGACACCCTTCGGGCCTAATTCTACTGCATGAACATGTCAAGCTGCTTCTATATAAATTCAGGGTTCTTCCAAATGGGTCCCTTTGAATGTTTTTAAAGTTGTCTCACTATATAGCCCAAGCTGGTCTGCAATCCCCCTCCTTCTACCTCATTGCTGGCATTATATGCATGGGCCATCATGCCCAGGTTCACATAGGATTTCTACTAAAAACTTTTCTCCAGGGGTCTGTTAAAAGGCATCTGGGGTGTTTTGTTATCTCATTATTTAAGAAGGATCAGTGGATCTTACTAACAGATGGGATGGGAAGAAATAGGAGAGAGTTTGTTTTTTGTTTTCTGGGGTTGGGTGCTGACAGTCTCATTACATAGTCACCATGCCTAGCTCATAGTGACAGCACTGACTTCCCACCTTCTCTATCACTAGTTGAGAAGTACCTTTTCTGTCACACTCAGTCTTAGGCCCTCTCTCAATGAAGGAGATACATTACCATGTACTAACCCGAACCCAAATGCAACGAGAGATGCAGAGATCCAAATGCAGCTGTTCTCACCTCCCAGTCCAGGTAATCACTGGCATCTTCAAAGTTAGTAAGGAGGGAGACAGAACAGAAAAGTTTGGGCAGCTCCTCTCGGGTCAAGGGGGGAAATCGGCTGTCCTTAAGTGCACTAGAGGGGACAGAAAAGATCAGTGAGTCTGCCTCCTTTTAGGAGACAACATTGCATGCACTATAGAGCCCACACAGCTGAGTCCCCAGAGCCTCTGACAGCGCCTCCTAGCACCTAACACTAATGTGAGCATTAACTGTCTTTGCAGAAGCAGATGGGCAACTCACCAGGTTAGTCCTTACCCTTCTTGATTACAAAAAGGGACTGCTCAAACTCTACCAAACATTTTGAAGAAATAAGGCTAGAATGCTATTTCCAGTTCTAGTTCATTTACGTATATTTTCTAATGTTTGTGCCATTACCTGGTTAACGTGTATTCCCTGAGTCCTGAATGAAGATTCATGGCTGAGAAGGTCCCAATGCAGCCACGAAGACGCTTGTCTCGCCCTGTCTTCCAGGTCACAAAGAGAGGACTAAAAAAAGCAAAGCATAAAATATTCTCCAGCCCCAGATTAATTATGGCTATATTGCTATTCATTTCTGAATTGCCAGCTACCAGAAGAACTCTTCCTTTCTAGAAGTTGCTCAGCCCTGACTAAGAGCACAGGAAGTTCATGAGAGACAGCAGAGGCTGTGTGAGTGGAGCCTTCCCCCTGCTCTGTCCTCACAACTTTCATCCACTTACACAGCACATACAGAAGCGTTTCTCTTCCTCGCCTTCAACTCAGCTTCTGTTTACGTTCCTGGAGACTGCACCACGCAGAGTTGCCCAGGTGGGCCTCAGTTAACCCTGGCCTCCACTCCCCAAGTGCTAGCTAGAATCACAAAGTGTTCCACAGCACCCAGCAACCTCCCCCCCATACTCTCCCCCTAGCTACAAGCATTCTCTGCAAGACTTCACTGTTCTCCCAACTGTAACTACTGCAAACTACAAACAGTCCCTGCACACAGACTTTCAGAAGAGAGAAACAATCTCTCAAGAAAGCTTTACAGTAACAGAATTTGCCATTTCTGCTTTCAGGCAAAGTCAAGTATCATTAGCTGTATCAGTTGGGTGCCCTACTTCCTGAGGTCCGGCCACATCCTAATGTTCTTACCTTTTAAGATTCCTGAGTTAGTCACTTCTCAAAGACAGAGTAAATACAGTTATCTAGACCCTCCACTCCCACCTCTGAGACAGGTCTCACCACACAGCCTCAAACCCAAAAACCCTCCTACCTCTGCTGGAATTAAAGGTGTGCGGCACCACATCTGGCTTCTTTTAAAATAACTTATTTTATGTGTGTTGGTGTTTTGCCTACGTGTGTATCAGTGTGAGGAAGTCAGGTCCTCTACAACTGGATTACAGTTGTGAACTGTTGTGCAGGTTCTGGGAATTGAACCTAGGTCCTCTGAGAACTCTTAGCCATTGAGCCAATTCTCCAGCGCCCCGGCCCCCACACCTGGCTTCTTATACTTTTTTCTTTTATCTTTTTGGTTTTTCAAGACAGGGTTTCTCTGTGAAACAGTCCTGGCTGTCCTGGAAACTCACTCTGTACACCAGGCCAGCCCCGAACTCACAGAGATCCGCCTGCCTCTGCCTCCCGAGTGCTGGGATTAAAGGCGTGCGCCACCGCCCCGCTGCTGCAGTGCCTTTTAAAACTAGTACAGAGCCACCTCCAAGTCTGAGGAGGAAAACAATGGCTTTTCCTTTCCTCATTTAATCTTGCACTGCCTAAACACGCCGGAAAGGTGGTTGTGGTTAAAGGAGCTTTGCTGTACACTGTGTGTGAGAACTAGAATTTGGATCCTCAGAGCCCACAGAAATGCCTGTGGGTGTGGTGGCCCATCTGATTCTGGCTTCGGAAGGTGGAGACAGGAGGTTCCTGGCCAAGCTGGCTAGTTGAGACTAGCCACATCCACCAGTGCTGGGTTAGACTGAGGTCAACCCTGACACACTGAAACAAGGTGGAGGAACACTCGAAGATGATTCCCAAACGTCAACCTTGAACCTCCACTGAACCAACATGCCTGGGCCCCCATACATGACATACATATAAACACACAGGCATGACATCCTACGACAACCAACGGAATCTTTGCTAAAACACCAGCTCTTAATGAATGAGAGCCCCTAGTCTCCAGCTTGGCCCTCAGACACATTCACTTAGATTTCCCCACTGCTGAGGGCTCTAGGGTGTGACAGTGTGACTACTTCTCTACTTAAGCTACGTCCCACCAGGAAAAACGTCTGTCTCCACAGCCTGCAGACAGACCCTGTTAGGAGTGACCTCAGAAGGCTGTTACCATGCCATCCACATTGTCCCATGTCTATCCAATTTACTCACTAGGGGTCATTGGTGAATCTAGGAAGTCGAGGCTGTGGGAAGCCATAGAGGTGACAGTAGAGAACATCAAAGCAGTAGCAGCACATCTCTGCAGTCACCACGAGGTTCTTAGTGGTGTTGGCAGTTCCATTGGGCCGGGGCAGAGGGCTCAGGGCTCCAGATGCAGGATTCATTCGTGTGATAGGAGAGTTTCCAGGTCCCAGAGTTAAGTCCGATACATTTTCCCGCCCAGTGCTGCTGTCCACATGCTGGTGGTTTTGAAGAGGTCCTGAACTGGAGCCAGGCACAGTTGTGGACTGATTGCCGTGACCGTGGGTTCCACTTCCAGACAATTTGGGCTTCTTTACCCCACAACAGCCTGCTGCCAGCTTGGGCTCAAGGGGAGGAACACAGCGTCTTTTTCCCATCCTGATTTGGTGTTCGTGATCTGGAATGCTGCAGAGCCCTAACCCAAAAGAGAGCAGGTAAGTACACAACAAAGAACAAAAATCCAGCAAAAAGTGTCTGCATGGATCAGCTAAAAGCTAATAAGGACTAGCGGTCAAAGGCTGCCAATCCTGAAGAGCTGCTTTTGACCCCATGACTCCCGTGGTGGAGGACAGAACTCACCACAGCAAGTGACCTTGACACACACAACAGCCCACCCCACCCCGGAAGTCAATTAACTGCAACTAAGAGACTTTTGTTTTGTTTGTTTGGGACAGGGTTTCTCTGTATTGTTTTGGAGGTTGTCCTGGAACTCGCTCTGTAGACCAAGCTGGTCTCAAACTCACAGAGATCCGCCTGCCTCTGCCTCCCGAGTGCTGGGATTAAACGCCCAGCAGAGACTTTTTTTTAAACTGTCAATTTTTTTTCCTACCAGAAACTTCAGGTAGTCAAAACCAAACAAACAAACAAAGGTTCAGCTGGCACTGGTGGCGCACACCTTTAGTGCCAGCCCTGTTCCTCACCATCACCTGATATCTATCCTTTCTACACGCTATGCCATACCCACACATATGTGTCTACACACGTGTTTACACACACGCTATGCCATACCCACACATACATGTGTTTACACACATACAAAGTAAGTCTGCAGGTATTTCCCTTTCTGGAATTGTGTGACCTTGCTAATATTATACATAATACATTTTGTTTTTCTTTAGAACTACATATCCTATCTTATAATATGCACTAGATTCTCACTATCCATTCATTTGGTGAAGGACAACTAAGCCAGCTGGTCCCTTTCCCTGCTATACAGTGACTAGAGTAGCAATAAATACACATGTGCACATATCTCTGAAAGGGTATGAGTTTTCTAGGTATGCGCCCAGGAGTTCTATTTTTAATTTTTTGAGGAATCTCCAAACTGATTTCTATAATGGTTATATTAAATTACACCCTGACCAAGAGTAAATAAGAGTCACCCATTTTTTTTAAAGTGTGTATGCATCTGTGTACACTCGTGTGTGTGTGCATACATGTGGAGACAAGAGGACAATCTCTGATGTAATTCTAAAAGGTCACCACTTCCTTTGCAATAGCCTCCCATAGGCCTAGAGCTCACAAATTAGGATACAATAACTGGCCAGTAGGCCTAGGAATCCCCGCTTCTGCCTCCCTAATGCTTGCTCAGATTGTAATTACGCATAGGAATGACTTTTTACCACCTAAACCAAGTAAAATATTAAAAACTTATGTGGAAAAGATCTCTGATTCTAAGAGAGGGGGAGGGAGGGAGGGAGGGAGAGGGAGGGAGAGAGAGAGAGAGAGAGCCAGAGAGAGAGGGAGGGAGGGAGAGGGAGAGGGAGAGGGAGAGAAAGAGAGAGGTTTTGTCAATGACCAGGAACAGATCCAACAGAAACTGTAGCACGTTTTACTAATGATGAAATTGACAAGTTATGGTGGACGGTGAACCCTGGCAAAGAGCTTGTAGTAATCTTCTGGGAGAGTTCAACAACAATTATCCCAAAGCAAGAGAATTGAACTTATAAAGAGGACTAACTGGCTTCTCCCTTGCACTGTAAGGGAGACACCAATAACTGGAGCCCCTGCATTCTATACCAATGCAAGTAAGTCAGGAAAGGCAGGGTACAAATCAGAAAATTTAAGTAAAGTGGATCTAAATCCTCATAACTCTGTCCAAAACTCAGAATTATATGCTATCCTCATGGTGTTAATGGATCGTAAAGAACCTCTCAACATAGTTACAGATTCTCAATATGCAGAAAGAGTTGTTCTTCATATTGAAACCACTGAATTTATACCAGATGACACAGAATTGACTTTATTATTTATTCAGTTACAAGGCATAATAGGGGACAGGAACCATCATTCATATATATATATATATATAAAATAAATCACACATTCAATCCCATAAGGGTCTGTCAGGCCCTTTAACACAAGGTAATGATGAAATTGATCCACTTTTGATAGGAAAAGTGCTAAAGGCCTCAAAATTTTATTAAAAAACACCATTTCAATAGCAAAGGTTTGAAAAAATAAAAAACTTTTCCATCACTTAGTAACAAGTCAAGGAAATTATACTACTTGTTCATTATATAACCAAAGTCCACTACCTGCAGGAAGTAACACAAGGGTATTCAAAGGAATCAGGCAGATGGATGTGTTTCCTTTTTGCAGAATTTGGAAAATTAAAATTTGTACACCACACCACTGATAACTATTCAGGTTTCCAATGGACAACTGCTCTGAGTTCAAAAAAGGCTGATTTGATAATCTCACATTTGCTAGAAGTTATGTCCATCATGGGTATATACCTTTACAAGACAATGCTCCAGCATATGTCTCTAAGAAAATAATCTGTTTTTTGCTTATTATAATATTGTAGGGAGACACCAGGTACCTGCAGCTGACCATGCCCCCCTTGGGGTATGGTCACAGGTATGTGGGAAGATTCAGAGGATAAAAGAAGGAACAGGTTGGCACTCTCGCTCTCTTGGATCCTGACCGCGGTTTGAGTGCTGACCTGGCTGTTCTTGTAAGTGACTGCTCTTTCTAAATAAATATCTAGACCTTCTTTCCATACTAGTTGCATGGATCTGTTCCATCATTATAATAGAACGCATATTACGGGTATACCAAACAATCCCACAGGGCAGGCAGTTATACCACATACTGTATTCTACTTGGCTTGAGATAATGCGGCAGAGCCAGGCGGTGGCGCACGCCTTTAATTCCAGCACTCGGGAGGCAGAGGCAGGCAGATCTGAGTTTGAAGCCAGCCTGGTCTATATAGTGACTTCCAGGACAGCCAGAGCTATATAGCAAGACCCTGTCTCAACAAAACAAAAAAAGTGTTAGTCACTGTTCTATTGATGTGAAGAAATACCATGACCAAGACAACTCTTAGAAAGTTTATTTGTGAGCCTGTTTAGCAGTCCAGAGGGTTAGTCCGCTATCCTCATGGCGGGTTCATGGAGGTGCTCACGGCACTGGGGCAATAGTTGAGAGCTACATCCTAATCCTCCAGTGACTAGGGCAGGTGTGAGCTTGTGAAACTTCAAAGTTCACCACCACTTCCTTCAACAAGGTCACACCTCCCAATCCTTCTAATCCTTTCACACAGTTACATTCCCTAGTGAATAAGCACTCGAATGAGAATCTATGGTGCTGTGGAATAACCCTTTGCACTCTGAAAATCTGTTGCTGTGACTGATTTAATAAACAAGCTGACTGGACAATAGCTGATCAGCATAAGGATAGGTGTGAGAGCCAAACTGAGAATACTTGGAAGGAGAAAGACAGAGTCGGGAGTCATCAGCAGACGCAGGGAGATGGGTGTGCTATACTGAGAAAAGGTACCATGTGGCAGAGCATAGATTAGAATTATGGGCTAATTTAAATGTAAGAGTTAACTAGTAACAAGCCTGAGCTATTGGCCAAGCATGTATAATTAACATTAAGTCTCCTTGTCAGTTATCTGGGAACTGGTAGCTGAGGGAAAGAAATATCTGCCTACACAAGGGGGTTACTCTTATTCAAGCCACCAAAAATACCGTAGTGTAGTGACACAAACTTGTAATTCCAGTACTTGGGGTGGTGGCAGATCAGTCAGGGGCTTAAACAATAAATTAATTAAGAAAAAAACACAGCCGGGCGGTGGTGGCGCACGCCTTTAATCCCAGCACTCGGGAGGCAGGGGCAGGTGGATCTCTGTGAGTTCGAGACCAAGCCTGGTCTACCAAGCGAGTTCCAGGACAGCCTCGAAAAACAATACAGAGAAACCCTGTCTCGAAAAACCAAAAAAAATAAAATAAAATAAATAAAAAAAAGAAGAAGAAGAAAAAAAAACACAGTTCATCTGAAACCAATTCCTAACTTCATAGGGCCCAGCACTATTGAAAGTGTGGCCCTGTTGGGAATAGGTGTGGCTTAGTTGTAGTAAGTGTTCTGAGGTCTCAGATGCTCATCAAGGCCCAATGTGACACTCTCCTTTTGCTGCTGCCCATCTGGATGTAGAACTCTCAGCTCCTTCTCCAGCACCATGTCTACATACATGCCACCATACTTCCCACCATGACAATACAGACTAAATCTCTGAAATTATAAACCAGCCCCGACGGGCATTGGTGGCGCACACCTTTAATCCCAGCACTCAGGAAGCAGAGGCAGGTGGATCTCTGTGAGTTCGAGGCTAGGCTGGACCGACAGCCTCCAAAACAATACAGAGAAACCCTGTCTCCTAAAACAAACAAACAAACAAAAAAAACCAAAAAACAACAACAAAAAAAAGATTTACAGGGAAAGGCAACTCTGCCTCCCAAGTGCTGGGATTAAAAGTGTACACCACAACTACACAGCCTGTTTTACCATATAAGTTGTTTTTTGTTTTTGTTTTGTTTGTTTGTTTTTGGCTTTCGAGGCTGTCCTGGAACTAGCTCTTATAGACCAGAATGGTCTCAAACTCACAGAGGTCAGCCTCCTCTGCCTCCCAAGTGCTGGGCTTAAAGGCCCGGCTGATATAAGGTTTTATGTTGCCCAATCTAGTCTTGAATACCAGACCCTCTTACCTCAACCTCTCGTGCTGGAATTATAGGCATGTGTCCCCATACAGTCATCAGTTTATTTTAAGCTTAAAACGTATCGCTTACTTCCCCCTTACTGAATAATTTTAAAGGAATCTAATACTTACCTGTCAAAATAAAGCAAATATTAATTAAACTAAAAGTAAAAAAAACGAGGGTACTGATGGAAAACATCATAGCCACCAATGCTATCAGCATCAATACAAGCAACATTAACTATGTACCAGCTGTATCAAAGCTTTCTCTTTCGGACTGTAGGGTAGCTCAGTAGTCAACAGCACTGACCTGAACCCAAGTTTGGTTTCTAGCACTCACAACAGGCAGCTTACCACCAACTCCAATAGACCTCGCTCCGCTTCTGGGTTTTGAAGGTGTCTACACACATGCACGTAACACAGTGTGGTAGTCT